CAGGGCAACCATCTCCCCTGACAAAGCTTCACAAGGCAGAGAATGTGCCTTTAGAATCAAACACGAAAAGAAAGGGGACAACCAAAAGGCAACATTTTTTGGTAGAAACGAAATCACCATTAGGAAACCGTACGATGATTTTGCCCTTACAGTTGGCAGTATTGCCCTCGGGCAGCAATTTTTTGTCGTCTAGTCTTTTAACAAGTCAATTTTTGGCCAGTTAATTACGTCCAAAGACGGCATAGAAAATTTGATAAGTCCAGAGGAATACAATAACTTTTCATCAACTTGGAATCCTTCCGGTTCGTAGAGAGTTTCATTTTGTTTTAAATACGCACATTTTTGGGTTTAAAGACTTACAAAATACTTGAAGAAACGGATTCTAGTAAGTTTTTCTGTACTCTAAAATTTAAAAAACTAGACTTAGCACCTTTTTACTGTAGTAAATGAAAAAAGTACACAAATTATTCGGTATTTATAAAGCGAATAGCATTTTTGCAAATGCACTTTTTTATTAATATTACTTATTCGTAAACACCACAAATATGGCTCCTTCCCACACGTAAGTTACCTTTAAAACGTTCACTTACTTACAGTTCGTAGGCATACTTATACTACATAGACAAATTTAAAGCTGACAGCGTCATTACGTATGCTCTTCATTGCCTATAACTTAGTATTCCATTCTAGTACTTTGGTAAATTCTTTCTCGCCAAAACTGATCATTTTCGACTGCTCCATGCAAATATTCTGTCGCTTGAGGTTATCGATGAGAAAAAGTTGCTTCTTGTAGGCATTGAGGAGATCGGCTCGTTGTTTCTTCAAACTTTTTATTTGTTTATCCTTTTTCTCATCATCGACACGCATCGATTCTTTGAGCTCACGTTCGGCGTTCTTTAGCAGCGCCAATGCACTTTTCGTATTCTCTAGTTCTTCATTGGCACGATACAAACGCTTCTCTAGATTGGTATTTGTTTGCGCCAATACTTTCAATTCACGACGCGCCGCCTCGAGTTCCTTCTGCTGTGCGTTCTGTTCGATGCTGCGCTCTTTGATGCGTCTATTCACCTCTTCTAGTTGATTCTCGGTTTTGTTCAATTGCTCGGCAATCGCATTATGTTTCGAAAATGCTTGATCGCGCTGTTGCTCTAGCTTTTTGTTACGTTCCAATGTCTTATCGAGCATCTCCTTTTGGTTGGACATCTCTTGTGAAATGCGCTCGTGATCCTCTTCGATTATGGCTATTTTAGATTTAAGAAATCTGTAAAAGGAATCAAAAATTTTGTATTGTGATCTAATTTGAGATTGGCCATCTTTTGGTGGACATACTTAATTAGGCCTTCGGTGCTAATTTGTTTCTTTCCTGTTGTGTCCATAGAACGACGTGAAGAACAACCACTATCGCCAAGTTCGCTGCTCCCTTTCGCGCGTATCGCAGCGCCCTCATCGCGTATTAATACCTCCAAAGATGGACTCTGCACAAATTTGGGATTGCGGTATTTGACTGTGAAGCCCGCCGCCTCCTTAGTTCGTGAACTGCAATTACTCGCTCGCCCGTAGGTACGTGCCCCACTGTCGGGACTGTTGATGTGCTTCCTATGCATTGTGCTACTTGTGCGGTTGGTTCTCGGTGTTTCAGAATGTGCGGCTAAAATACTGTCACCATCCGGACGCATGCTAGGCGCGGTGGACGTGGAGGACTGTTGAGTCACTTTGCGTGTCATACGATGTGTATTGTTACGTTCGGTGGGCAATTCGGCGAGTCTATCGCAGGCACCATCACCTGCGCCATTACCCCCTCCAGCCACGCCACCAGCGCCAATGCCATTAGCACGCTTCTTCAGCAACGTGCTTGGTCCTTTGGACTTTGTGTACGTGAAATAACGTTGCTCCTGTTTGTTGGACAATTGTTTGGATAAGCCACTGTAAACACCACTCCCACTGATGGTACCTGCGCCACTACCGCCGCTGCCGCTGTCCGCCACACTATTACAGAGGGGATGTTGGTGCTGGTGTTGCAGTTGTTGATGTCTTTGTGTTTGTTGATCCGTTGAAGTGACGGCCAGCTGGTCTAACTCTTTATTCAATTTGATGAATTCCTTCTCGCGCGATAGCAATTCGGCCATCGCCTCTTATAAAATTTTGACAGAAATTTTTTAACGAGTACACAAAAGAGAAATTTTGCATTAACATCAAAATTTTTAACATTTAATTTTTCATATAAACCAATTTTCAGTTTTGGTTTTGATTTTGACTTTTATATTTGAGTGATATTGCAAACGATTAAAAATTTGTGCTTGTATGCTTCCGGTCTACAACGCACTTGGTCAGCTACTGGAGTAACAAAGTGGTTGCAAGGCCGGTTATGCTTGCTCGGTAGCAGTCAAGGATTTGCTCAGACATGCTAAATAATATAGTTGTTCAAAGCGAAAGAGAGGGTAGTGTCGCAGTTGTTATTTGTTAGTTCTTACATACATACATATATTGTGGTGTTCTTGGTGATGGCGGGAATTGATTAGACTGGCTTACTGTTGCTATCGTTGCTAGTTGCATGCAGAAGCATGGGGAGCAACATTGTTTATATACTCAGCTAAGCATAGAGGGGTGATTGAACTGTTATTTGCGAGTGAGTATCTACATAAATAAAGCGGCTCGAAAGTTTGCAAATTACGGTCTTCAATACAAAATAACTTAAATGGCAATTTCGAAATTTAACCAAGGAACATTACAAAGGAATTTAAGTTTTGGCGTTTGGCACATCTCCTTCTTTAAACTATCCATCGCGAGAGACATAAAAAAGTACATACAGTAAAGTCCTTTGCTTAAACATAAGTACATATGTAAGTATGTACATTAGACTGCATCACCAAAAAAAGTTGCGGTTTTTCCGCCGGGATTACAAAATTTATTACATATATTGTAAGACGTCGACCAAAATATATCGAAAAAATATTGAGATTTAAGCGAGCTGGATCATTTTGAAAATACCTCCAAAAATGGAGTTTTTTTTGGATTTAAGTTACTCCAGAAATGTTTACAATGTTTGAAAAAGGAGTATTATTTGGCTCAGTTAGAAGTTATAGCGCCATGAACAAAATTATGTACATAAATATTAAAACTTTATAATAACAATTTAATTTCTTTTAAACATTCAATTATTGCAGTAAATCCTTGATCATTTTGACTTCTATAAAATTCTTCGAGTGATGATACTGATCTTAAAGATGGGTATTTAGACCTTGTAATTTCATATTTGGAACAATTGAATAATATATGATTACTATCCTCCGTTATAATTCAATCAATCATGGTAGCTTTTCAACCTTCTGTTGCTTGGCCCACTTTTATTGTTGCACCGAGGTAAATGCGTATCTTGACTGCAACATAAAAAGTGAGCTTAAGCTCAGACTAATCTTTTGCACTGACGGGATGCGCTGAAGCTCAAGCACTTTGTAATGAAAATCGAGCCGAAGATTAAGCTCACTTTTTATGCATGAGGTCCATTGATTGGAGTCGACGTTTAGTCCTCGGATCGTGCGCACGTTAAAACCTAAATAGGGATAAACACAAATTTTAGCACCCAATCTTTACCTACGAGTATTTCTTTAAAATACGAATGCCTGGTTGTACAATTCGATTTTAAATTTATCATGAATGTGAATTCTTTATAACATATGGTTACACCACTGAAGTTTTAAACGGGCCGATCTCTGTCTGGTCAAAACCGGGCAGTGGCAGAGAAAATGTTCTAAAGTCTCATCAGCATCAAGGCTAAATAAGCCGGCATTCCGGTTCTGTGATCGCACCTATTCGGTGTAAGTGGCATCGCAATCGGTTGTGACCAGTTGGGTCGTAGCGAAAAGCCTGACCTGTCTATGGCCTCCACCGCTCGCCAGTACTCACTGCGTTCAGAGTAATTATGGCTCTCGAAGAGAACTAGCTGGCTGCACAGAATGGTTCAGGTCCCGAAAAGGCATTTAGCGATCTTTCTCATGCCATCTTGTCTTCGACCTCATTGCCTTCGTTTTCACAATGGCCTGGTACCCAGCGCAGTGTTACCGTGTGCCTGGCTGCCAAAATTGGTAGCGTGTCAACGCAGTTTCTAACCGGCTTGGAGTTCATAGTCCATGGCAGAGATTCCGGATATTTCCAACCATGCAATCTTCCCAAGAATACCTGCATGAAGCTTCCTTGTGAAGAAGGCGTCGTTAGATAGTCGATAGTTGCAGCTCCCTTGTGGCTGATGTTTCCTGGATAAAAATGTGGAGAAGAGTCGATTCTAGAAACAAAACTATAACCGCAGTTCGGCACGTTCTAATTGATCAAGTGAGGGATAGACATGCCAATATTTGAAATTTGTTAAGGCGAAGTATGGCTGTTTTCGCAGTGTCTTCTGACACCATGCTATGGATGCATAAGACGCAATCGGACGGACGATCATACGTTAGAGCCAATCTATTAGCCTTGAGCGCAATCTCCAAAGAGGCTGCTGCAGGCCCACATGGCCCGTGTGGCTTTAGCAGCCGTTCTCTCAAGATGGGAGTTCCAATTAAGACTCATGCATATCCAGCGTGTTAATAATGGTACATACATAAATATGTACATCATTACATATGTACACTGCACATGCACATTATTTGTAACATAACTTGGCTATGGAAGTCGAATTATAATAGCTTCGTTTATTAAATTTGATGCTAAACATCACTCGGCAGCATTTAGTGACCATATCGTGCGTATGTATGTGTGCTGTTTTGCAGCTTTTATGTACATATGTATGTACTACGCATACATGGTTTCCAATTAATATTCAATCAAAGTGACAATAGCCAATCTGCCTGCGTCTTAGGTCCTTGGCGAATTCGCATAGTAATTACATAGTCAGAAAGATGCCATGTAGCTCAGTAAATTTAATAAAATTAAAAACAGAAAGTGTTAGAAATTCCACAAGCCAATGGGCTAACAGTTTTCTAAATCGTATAAAAGCACCAGTTTCAGTACCAAACGATATCAGTAGCACTGAATCCTCACAGCTAGCAAATCACAAGCGAACGTGGCAAAATAAGCAAACGCATAACTGCCAAAAGCACAAGAAAAGTCAGTGGAACGCTACTTTTGGGAAAAATTTGCATACTTTAAAAAAAATATAAAATGCGTTCATTCATCACTGTCTGCATTTTTGCTATAATCCTGACCATCAGCATGTGTGGCTTCAGCGAGGCGGCCTATAGGAAGCCTCCTTTCAATGGCAGCATCTTTGGCAAACGCAATTCGTTAGGTGAGTAAAATTTTAAAAATAATTTTATTAAAATTTACTTATATTCTTCGTTCAATTGTGCAGAGTATGACAATGCCAAGGCAATAACTGCAATGTGCGAAATAGCGCTGGAGGCGTGTCAATCATGGTTTCCACAAGGCGAAAGCAAATAAGACCAAACCGCTTTAGTGAATTTAGTCATCGATATAACCACGATCCTCCATACATAATTAACGATAAACAT